CTATTTTGGGGAACCAACTTTCAAAATCGTCATTTTGGGTAACCAACTTTCACCTTATTCCTATTTTGATGAACCAACTTTCATCTGATTCCTATTTTGGGGAACCAACTTTCAAAATCGTCATTTTGGGGAACCAACTTGGACCTGATTCCTATTTTGGGGAACCAACTTTCAAAATCGTCATTTTGGGGAACCAACTTGCACCTGATTTCTAATTTGGGGAACCAACTTGCAAAAAAAATTATAGAAAAATAACTAAAATTCGTTTTTTTTTCAAAAATTAATGCAATAAAATMTATTTTTCATTTCAAATCTCGTTTTTTTAAATTCATATATCAAATTGAAGATTTTTTCGAAAAAAATCCAAATTACCACGATAAAAATTGTTTTTCATTAATGCAATAAAAAAAATCAATTTAATAGAAAAAAATTAATTGATGCAATAAAAAATAAATATTAAATATCACATTCAAGATTTTTATATCTAACCAATCTGTGTCAATATTAAAGTTTAAATCAAATTTGACAAATCCAACCAAAAGTTTGATAGAGACCCTTAAATTACCTATTATCTGTTCAACAGATCAACCAGACGCTTAAATAAACAAAAAGTTTGATAGAGACCCTTAAATGATGATTTTAAAAGTCGGTTTCCCAAAATAGGAATCAGGTAAAAGTTGGTTCCATTTTTGTGTAATTTTCTCATTTTTCTATAATTATTTTGCAAGTTGATTCCCCAAAATGAGAATCAGGTGCAAGTTGGTTCCCCAAAATGACGATTTTGAAAGTTGGTTCCCCAAAATAAGAATCAGGTGAAAGTTGGTTCCCTAAAATAACGATTTTGAAAGTTGGTTCCCCAAAATAGAAATCAGGTGAAAGTTGGTTCCATTTTGATACAATTTTCCCTATTAACAATGGTAAAGTTCCGCTATTAAAAGAAAATGCAAAATACAACCTTCCAAAATTTGAAGATTGGGGAAATATAATGATTGCAACATTTTATTTCTAAGGAACACAGTCGTTGAGCAAAATCAACGATCCCGGAATCATTAATTAATTACCTTGTTGGAGTCTCAAAGCAAATGCTTTAAGAGATAGAAGAACATCTTTTAACCTCACTTTAGTTGCAGGGTCGATTAAATCGCCATCGTTATTGAACTTTGGAGGAGGTTGGAATGCGTTCACCACAAACTCGGGCTTGTTTATGAAATGAAGATCCAGAAAAACACCGATTTGCCGTAGATGATATTGTGAGCGCCCACCGCCAAATCCTCCTCCGGCGCTTACGATAGCCGCCGGCTTATTGGCCCATACATTTGGTGGCCTAGATGCCCAATCCAATGCATTCTTTAAGGGTGCTAGTGCCATGAAATACAGACCATTAGAATTTTTTTCGCCTTTCATTATTTTATTTAATTCATCATTTTATTCTTCCCCTTTATCAACAATAATATAATTTTACATGATTGGTGAATATAAAAAGACATGAAACTTGGGAAAAACAGATGATAATGAGGATACTATTGACAATGATAATAAAAGACCCCAACACCCAATTTTCAAATGAACCCTTGTGTAGATAATTATATAAACAAGTGAAAATTATGTTAACAATAAAAAAAAATGAAGGCTACTCTTGAGGTTCCTCTAAGAGATTTTACAAAAACCCTCGTGATGGGACATAAGTTCTTGTTTAGTCACTGATTTTTACTAGTCACTGATTTTTACTAGAACTCAGGTGCTTGAACAAAAACACGGATTCTTACATACATTCATTTTCTGTTATTATATTCTTTATTATTTCTTAACTATTTTAATTTTAATGGATTTATAAACATATAAATTAAAATTGATATAAAAAATATAAATTAATTATTTTTTTTAACTTTGTTTTATTTTTCAATTCTTTTAAACTTTTTTATGTATTCATAATCTTAATTTTAATCATCTGATTATATTATTATGTTTAGATTACTGTTCATATATTAAGTTTATATTTATAAGTTTAAATTAAAATTAAAATTAAAATTTGTGATAAAAAAATTCTTGAATTAATACAATTAAATTGAAATTAATATAGAAAAGTGAAAATTAATAAAGTGTATTTGAATTTCTTTTATAATACACACACATATAAATCTATACTAGTTGGGTACCCGCACGATGCGACAGGAGCAAATCCAACATATTTAAACGACTCCACAAATGTGTTCGATTTACACCAAGAGCAAAGAATCATGAGATCGAGAGTGAGACCGAAAGTTCTAGAGCAATTGAATGGGAGAACTTTTAATAACTAATGGTGAATATCAGTTTGAATCTCACATTGGGGATGGGGAGAAGACAGAGAGATATAAGAGGGTGAAGTCATGAGTGAAATATGTCAAAAGTATCTTAGGAACATGAAAAGAAAAAGTAATAATATGCATTGGTAACTTGTACTATGTGTTATTTTAATTGTAAATTAAGAGATTTTAAAATTAAATGCATAAAGTAGTACTTAATGCATTATAAATTGTTTTTAATACTTTTAAGACTTTGTGCATAAATGTATAATACTTTGTGCATTTAATATTGTTTTTAAGACTTTTGACAAATTTGGTTTATAAGATAATATAGATATATAGATGAATTATTATACAACCTTTTACATTTTTACAACAAATACAACTCAATCTCAACCGTTCATTTAATTTGATTAATATGTGATTTCATAAAAAATTTGATTGTTTTCTAATATAAAGTATTGATCATAATTAATGAACCCTAGTCATCTTCTATAAATATTCAATCATAATAAATGATCTCTCATCATTTCCATAAATATCTCAATTAATTGAGTTGTATTGCTTGTACAAATTTGATGAGTTGCATTGGTTTTACAAATGTGATGGGTTGCATTTGAAACGTCCTCTCTCTCTTTATATATACAAATACACACATTAAATTCATATACTAATCTATAAATAAGATTATATTTTGTAAATGAGAGAAATAGAAAATGAGATTTTTGTAAGAACTTTTATTGTGAAGTTTTATTAAAGTTTTAATTTAATTAAGGTGACAATGATGTAGCAGAAAAAAATATGGCAAGTGAAGTTATGAGAGGTTTCAACATTGTGGATTTGAACAAGAACCCGGGTTCTTGTACATATTCATTTTATGTTATTATTTTTATTATATCTTGACCATTTTATTTTCTTTTAATAAATGTGTAAATATATAAGTTATAACTGATATAAAATCATCTTTTCAATTTTGCTTTATTTTTTATTTCTTGTAAATTTTTATACTAATTTTCATATTAATAAGTTTAATTTTCAATAAACTTATTATATTATTTTATTGAAAAGATAGATAATTCAACATAAAATTAAGGGAATAAAATGGAGAGAATGGGGAGTGGAGACCATTAGACTTTTCCAATTATTTTAAGATAATTATAATTATACCCTTTAACATTTAAAATTTGTGAATAGCTGTTTCTTCATTAGCAAACGTTTTACGTTTGAAATGATTAGATTGAAACCAAAATAAATAAATGAGATTAAAGTTCATGTCAAAGAAGGTTTTCTAAAAATCAGTTGTGTTTCGAATTTAAGAAGAAAAGAAAATTCATTGAAAGTAAAGAAAAGAAATAATATAATTTTTTATATTCTTTAAGAGTAGAAAAAAGATGTATTTTTAGTGACCGGAAGAATACTCGCGTAATGCAGCAAGATACATCTCGATTTTAATGTTCTATTTTATTCTTTATTTTTGTCAATGTTATAATACGATTTTATGTGTTTTTAAGAAAACAATAACGTTTTTTATTTTCGAATAAAATATAAATTTGAAGATGTCATAAAATTTGAAAAAAATATATCAGTGTTAATATCAAATTAACTATTTAAAAATTCTAATTTTTTATGTAATTTCTTTAATTTATTTTTTATTATAATTTAATTTAAGTTTAATGATAAAATAATTTATTTTTGGTTTAATAATATAACATTTTATAAAGATAATAATTAAGTATTTTGTCGGAACTCAATAGTTATTTTAATTATATTTTAGATTTTTTATATTTAAAATAAGATGTTTATCTGTAGTTAGTTATATGAATTGAGATATTAAACTTTAATAAGTTGTAATTACGCACAATCTATTTGTAATCTTGAGTTTTAAGTAACATGTATTAATAAACAGTATTTTATACATAAAAAATAATTTTTAAAAGTTTTTATCAAATACTTTATAATATAATATAGATATACTCTTAGAAAATTTATTTCTTAAAATTAAAGATGAATATAGTTTTTAAAGATTTTTAATTTCTTTATTTTACTTCCCTTCCCATCCCTCTCAAATTTAGAATTAACTTATCATTATTCTTTTTTTCTTTACATTAAAAAATTCCAAGAACTTACCTTTACAAAAAAAAGTTTTGAGAACACAGCAAAGTGTTGAAATTTCAAAGTTTTAGATCGAAGATGGTGGATTAAAAGGCCAGGGCCAGGCAGTGTCTTAAACATTAGGGAAACCTCTCGATGTGAAGACATGGATTAGTAGGTTCATGATACAAAATCAATAGTATAATTTTGTTACTAATTAATCATGAAAAGCAATTCGATTTGCAGTTGTCGCAATTAATTTTCAGAATGTTTAAAATCGACAACTAAAAGTTAATTTATATGAATACCCCCAAATAATTTGATTCAACAGTGAAATGAAGTTGAAGGAACAGATCAAAATTACCGGTGATGGAGTAATTATATTCCGGAGAAGCGAAGAGGAAGCAGTCGGATTCAAGAATTTTCCGACGAAAATCCTCAACGACAGGTGGATATTTGCCGTCGACTTCGAGATCGGTATTCAGCATCGGCAGAGGCGAAATGTCGACATGCTCGATCGACATTCCTTCAATCGACTCACTCAACTCAATCGCTGCAATTCATTTGATACTTCAACGTTATCAAAGAGATCGTAGTTTAGAAGTTAAAATGAGTGGAAAAAGAAGAGTAAGTACCAGATCGGAGGAGGCCATGGTTGGTAGATGCTTTGCGAAGAGATCCGCAGATGGCAACAACTTTGATGATAGGTTTTGCTGCCATGGCGGATTCGATTTCTTTGTTTCTTTTAAGAAGGAGAAGGACTGTATAGAGAATTAGAGATAGAGGGTAGCTGGTGGGCACCGGCTAATGAAAGCCCTATAAATGCGGCCGAATACATTTATGTTACAAGGAAGATATTTTGAGAAGTGAAGAATAAAAAGTGAAGGACTCCTTAATGTTTGGATCGGATATTTGAAGTGTTAATTAACTTATTTCGATAAGATAATCGTCATACTGGTAATAAAGAGTTTTTAATGTTTGGATGGAAAAAAATCTAATTATATCGATTTGGCACCGGTAATAAGAAATTTTTAATAATTTACTCTCTTCTAACTTATTAACGTATTCCAGTGTGGTATCAGTTATAAGAAGTTTTTTAGTGTTTGAATGGAGGAAAAATGAAATATTATCGGTTTATTACGTTTAGATACCGCTATAAACTAATTCAAATACTTTTTATAAACACCGGTTTGACACCACATAAGTTGGTAACTAGTTTTACATAAAAGCATAAGTTGTTTTAAATAAGCAACCCAAACACCCTCTACGTAAAAGTTTGTATATGAATTCATTGAAAAATCTATAAAAATTTATTTAAGGATGCATATAGAATCGATGTTACAGATTATTTATATGGATTCATATATGAATATCCAGTTGGGTTATTTCAGTAATTCATTTATGAATATTTTTTCATTATTTTTTCACGATATTTAACCTTATTATTTGAAAATATGATTTTAAGCCTATTTAATTAATTAATAAGATTATGAAATGTGTAGCATTTGTGATAGAAATATTAGTAACTAAGGGGCTGTTTACTAAACACTTACTTGGTAAATGTTTAACGTATATATTTCCTCATCGGATGAACATGAGAAGCGCCAAGAATCTTACCAGGTAAGAGCGATGAAAAGAATGAAGAGTCTTGCCCAGTAAGTGAGGATGACAACTCTTACCCAGGTAAGCGTTTACCTAGTAAATTGTTGCATTCAATATGCTTTGATGTACTAAAATCTTATGCATCTAAATAAATTATAGTGTTGACTCCTATTGAATAAGCGCTTACCGGGTAAGCATTTGGGTAAATGACAGGCTAGGATCGTTCGTGTTCACCTAGTGGGCAGAAAGTCCCCACAGTGGCGGTGCAAGTGCACGCCGACACTATGATCACTTGCAAGTAATAAAGTGGTACAAAGTACCAAGATCGTTCCCACAGAGAAGGTATTATTGAGATTCAGAGATTTTTCATGAACTTCTTGCACGAGTTTCGAGATGTAAATAAAAGTTGGATTTTTGTTTATAAAAAAACCGAAATAGGATCGACTAACTAAAGAACGAAATAAACTTCTAATATTAAATGATGAGCATGGGTGAGAGTGTTGCTTAAGATAAAATTAACAATAAAATGGTTAGACTTTTATGAGTTGTTTATAAAAGTTCCAATCTCTCGAAAGTGAACTTTTATAACAGGGTCTCATAAAATTCCATAAGGTTTTTACGTTTACCACTTCGAGACTTGCCGATCTAGCCAAAAAGAAATGCGATTCTTACCCAAATCTCTTTAAAAATACCTATTGCTTAACCCTTAGCTAATTGCATACAAAATTCGTGTCTCCACGCAATTATTCAAAGACCCTCTCGAGTTCTTTGTGCATCACTTAAGCCGTATTTCGGATCCGCTCATCTCTGGATTTAAGATCTAATATTAACACTTTAAAGTGATCAGCTTATCCGCATTTTAAGTACCGTTTTAAGTGACCAAGTTACGAAGTGATAAAAGATAAAAACAACCAAATATTATATAAACATCCTAAGTTAAACTCACACCCACACCCATACGAGTAATTTAGCTAGACATAATAAAAATAATTAAAGACAGAAAATAATACGGAAATATAAATTGCATTAATGTAAAACTAAATTACAAGTACAAGAAAATAAAATATTATAAATTAAAGACATAAATTAAAGACATAATTTAAAGACATTAATTAAAAGGATAATAATAATTAAGAAAAAGAGAGAATGAGACACAAAAGGAATTTTGTGTCATGCATGGTGTGTTTTCAAAAATGACTCTCTAAGCCTCTTTATATAGGGGAGAGGAAGGGGAGCAAGTACACCCAATAATTACCTTAAGGGTAATTAGTACAAAGCCTAAAAAATACAAATAATTATAAAATAGAAGAAGGAAGACAGCTCATATACAGTTGGAGAAAAAATATCTGGATGAATCTTCAAGCTGCACGTTTCCCAAGAAGCAGCAACAAGGCTTTAAGACATCCCACAGTGGTGCCACAGTGGATAGTGCTGTCAGAAAAATACAGGTTTTTGGAATAATACTTATTCCTTTGTGTTTCATCATCTTTTTAAAAAATTTTGGAATAAAAGGTGAAAAACAAGAAAATTGGGTATTTAATAATAGCAAAAAGTGAAGAAATAAATAGGTAATAACTCTTAAAAATAAGAGTTGTCACACCTCAAAACTTAAGATATTACTTGTCCTCAAGTAATCAAAATAAACGGAATATGAACAAAGAGGAACAAAAAATCATAACTTACGGATGGGCATTGAAATCTCGTCGGGCTTTGAATGTAATGCAACTTCCTTTCTTTGATCTTCGAGGTGCAAAAATTAATCGGTGAGACTTTTATGGGGTTAGTGTATTTGACTAAAAAAATTCCCCCAAACTTGTCTTAGAATGACAACAATTGCTTTGAATGATTTCGACTTTTCGCATCTTTTTGTTGTGTCTTTGATACTTTCCAAGAAGTGATATTCATTTTTTGTCTTTGGGTTAATGCATTTTGCTTTATTTTTCTATTTTTTTGTGTCTTCCAATTTTCCGAAGACATTTGGTACTTCACGAATTTTTTCTCAACACTTTGGCATACAACCTCGCCTAAACTTAAACCGAACAATGTCCGCATTGTAGAAATGGGTTTAAAGTGTTTGGTTTGGTAACAATGTAAAGTGTTTGGGCCAAAAAGAAAGATGACCCACGTCTTTTTAATTTTTGCAACCCAAAGATTTCGGCAAGGAAATCGCACCTGAAAATGAAGATTAAGCCAACGATATACCAATAAATTATCAACGCCCAATAAGAAACAAATGTAAGTTAGAGTAGCAATTTATCAAAATATCTGAGCAAATATCAACGACCGCCATATATGAACACAAAAGGAGGTGGTCGGATAAAGTATTAAACACCCAATCAAAAAAAATATTGTTTTTGAGTTTCAAAAGTCATAACGAAACACCTAGGAAGACGATCAATCCAATTTACCCGTGTCGTCCCGAGAAGCGGATGCCTCACCCGTGGCATCCGGTGTGGTGGTCCGTCTGATCTTCGGTAGTCTGACTTGGGGAGGGCAAAGGCCTCCGGGAAAGCGCATGATCTCTGAAGCTAGCATCACATTCTTTATTACTTGCAAGCGATCATAGTGTCGGCGTGCCCTTGCACCGCCACTATGGGGACATAGTGCCCACTAGGTGAACATGAACGATCGTAGCCTGTCAACAGTATTATACTCTTGAGAGGGTATGGGTTTGTACTTTGTGTGTGGAAGGACAAGACAAAAATCAATCGTGCATGGCAAGATTCATTTGATCATTTAATGTTGTAATAACACTAGAGGTCTTTTCAGCATTCACTAAGGCTTGTGCAGTCTTCACACGTATGTTGACCAAGTTGTAAGCACTGAATACCGCTTTAGATCACAAACGCACCAGTCACTATTCTTCAGTTTCAGTCTTCGACATTCACTGAAGGTTCTTGAGTGTAAGTTTTGTCTTCTTAAAGTAGTGTAACACCCTCATTTTTTTTTGAGAATGTCACGTAACCTGAATCCATTCCTGAATACATAGTCCAAAAGACGGCTAAAATATCACCGTTCTAATCGTTTACAGCGGAAGTCTTTGAATCCCAAAATTAACTTAAGTTCTAACCCCCTTCATACCAAGTTAAGTTACAATAGATTAGTACAATGCTGCTAGGCAAAAACTAAAGATAAGATAACAATCTAGTAACTCTCTACGCGAGTCCCTTGCCCTTATCCGACTTCGAACTTCCTGGCCCTGAGATGCATACTATAGTCAGCTTGTAAAGCTCAGTGAGTTCATGGTTTGCATGAGTAAAGATCATTTCACACCATACATAACAACTTGTAAACTTTGTGCCAAATAGTATGCATTTTCTGAAAAACATGCAATACCGAAGGAAATATATATCTGTAAGACACTGAACATACGAGATCTCGTATAACGTTTAACCGGGTATGGGTCATTTAGTCACAAACACACCCTGGGTTAGATATTTCAATCTTAACTGGTCAYCCACTTGTCCGGGTAGTGTTTTATACTAGTCGTGACTTACTAGTCAAATGCCCACCCTTAAATCATCAAACTTTTAGTATGGATTAGCATGCTAGAGTTATTTGAAAACTGATTAAACAC